GACAATTGACCCCTGTGACCTTGAATATAATTGAAGGTCATTCATTTGAACAAACTTGGTAGCCCTTCACCCTAGCATGCTACTGACCAAATATCATCTCCCTGGGCAGTTTGGTTATTGAGAAGAAGTTGTTTAAAGTTTTTAACATATTTGACCCCTGTGACCTTGAAAATAGATGAAGGTCATTTATTTGAACAAACTTGGTAGCCCTTCATCCCAGTTTGCTTCTGGCCAAATATCATCACCCTAGGCCTTTTGGTTATTAAGAAGAAGTCGTTTAAAGTAAAATATTGACGCCGGACGACGGACGGACGCCGGCCGGCCGGCCGGCCGGCCGACGGACGCCGCACCACGGCATAAGCTCACTTGGCACTTCGTGCCAGGTGAGCTAAAAACAGAAGATATACGTTTATTAGAGAAAGAGTTCTCAAATGATTTGAGCGAAGATTGTACAAGGAGTAACTAAGTGACTCACCTTAGATGTACTGTATCTAGAGAGACAGGGGTCCAGGTAAACATCACACCTGTACTGTTGTCTATACAGGTGGCGTTGAGTAACTACGTGACTCATCTTAGGTGTACTGTATCTAGAGAGACAGGGGTCCATGTAAACATCACACCTGTACTGTTGTCTATACAGGTGGCTTTGAGTAACTACGTGACTCACCTTAGGTGTACTGTATCTAGAGAGACAGGGGTCCAGGTAAACATCACACCTGTACTGTTGTCTATACAGGTGGCAGTGATGTCGGAGTTACAGGAAGCGGTCACACTTGGAACGTGCTTTAGGTACAGTGACATCGGTGTACCCACAGTGACGTTCAAAATCCGGCTTTGGCTCGTCTCCAGTGGAGGAATCTGAGTCTCTATAGTAAAATATAGTCCAATTCAAACATGGAACCATAACAACCAGATGTACATGTATATTATTACATTATTCTAAATCCAAACAAAATCAACATAGCATCATTCTTTGCTTCAGAAATTCTGGCTTCTGATTTCAAAGTGCTTTTTTTTTTTTACACATGAAACAATTTAAGTGGTTATGGAAAAAAATCTTACGTAAAACCTCCTTTTGGTTCATAATCGTATCTGCTACGGTCCGGGTTTTATTTGCCGTGACGTCATCCTGCAGAACAATCCTGTTGTACAGACAGGCTTTAGATACCACTGTGTCGGTGAGTAAGCACGCTACGTAATCCGTGGCGTTAACGTCGTTATAGACGTTAGGGTAAATCTCGTCTAGGAAAAGTGGCGTGACATCCGTTGCGTTTGAAGACCCGTTTTGAGATGAGGAAATATTGGTATCCGGTGAAACACTCCCTATGGCGAGAGAACAGAATACAATCCTCATCTTATTACAAGTTATAAACATGGCAAACAATCTGGCGCCAATTCGAGATTAAGAGATTTTGCCATTCGATAACACTCTCGCCAGCTATCAACTCATATCATTTATATTTGACTTTGTTAAACCTTGGCGGTATATTGGCGATGTAGATATGAATCCGCCAAACATTGTAAATAAAATGACGTCAGTTTACGATGATTCACCTGTCAAATTAGTTTTGTTTGATTTAAGAAAAATGTTTATCGTTGTATATGAAATTACTTCATCATATTAATGGCGTTTGTCCTTTGTTTTGAACAGCATACGACTCTGGGTTGATGTGTACTTACAACTTGTCATCTGGGAGTATATTTCCCTGTCTGTAGAAGTTAACGGAAGTGGTTCGACAGTTCTACCGCGTATGCCTAGATCGTCTGATTTGTTGCTGTTGGCTGTTCCTAGCAACCCCCTAGTGTTTCGAACAGCCTCAGGAGGTGTGACGACCATGGCGGAAATTGACCCTTTCGCTTCACAGAATGTTGTCGAAAAGCCTTGTAAAATATTGAAGTAAGTTTTTATAAGAAATTATTCATTATCACAACGTTTCTCTCTGTCTAAGAATTTATTAGGAATTTGTCTAGGAGGAAAGGAGAAAAACGAGCCTCAGTTATCTTAGTTATCAAATTCGGGTGTCTTTCAAAATTTTCTTTCAAAAACTACTGCAATGTGACAAAAGTAGTCAAAATTTCCAATGTACGTTAACGATCATTTGCGTTCGTCGTCTTATCCTGATTTCTAGATATGTAGCGTCTGCATCTAGCATACTAAGACGCCTTTTCACTGCGTCTTAGATCGTTGATACATTTAACAGGATATAGCATGACTTCCACCTTCGACAGTCGGATAGCAGAGTTAGTTTATCGGACTTGTCTAGCATTACACTGTATATACAAGTTACATTATATATACCGGTTAAATTATATATACCGGTTACATTGTATACACTGGTTACATTGTATACACCGGTTACATTGTATAAACCGGTTATATTGTATATACCGGTTATATTGTATATACCGGTATTCCCGATCATGCTCACCTGGCGTTTGTACAAGGACGACACAGTCATCGCGGTTCTTGTAGACGGTCATATTTTGGTACGTCTTTCGAAAATTGGAGTTATGTTGAAAGCTGCTGGTCAAAGATTTGCCTGCTACTGTAAGCTCGATACCTGCAACAAACGTTATAATGTTATATCATGATTAAGATATTGACCAATGGAATCACGCTCAGTCTGTTACCAACGAGTGGGTAACCAATAATGTTTACAAACACCTACCACGTTTATTCAACAAGTCGGGTGTAAGGAGACCTTCACGGTTGTGGGAGACTCCCCTGTCGGTCGAATGTAAGGATACCTTTACGGTTGTGGGAGACTCACCTGTCAGTCGGGTGTAAGAAGACCTTTACGGTTGTGGGAGACTCACCTGTCAGTCGGGTGTAAGAAGACCTTTACGGTTGTGGGAGACTCACCTGTCAGTCGGGTGTAAGGAGACCTTTACGGTTGTGGGAGACTCACCTGTCAGTCGGGTGTAAGGAGACCTTTACGGTTGTGGGAGACTCACCTGTCAGTCGGGTGTAAGGAGACCTTTACGGTTGTGGGAGACTCACCTGTCAGTCGGGTGTAAGGAGACCTTTACGGTTGTGGGAGACTCACCTGTCAGTCGGGTGTAAGGAGACCTTTACGGTTGTGGGAGACTCACCTGTCAGTCGGGTGTAAGGAGACCTTTACGGTTGTGGGAGACTCACCTGTCAGTCGGGTGTAAGGAGACCTTTACGGTTGTGGGAGACTCACCTGTCAGTCGGGTGTAAGGAGACCTTTACGGTTGTGGGAGACTCACCTGTCAGTCGGGTGTAAGGAGACCTTCACGGTTGTGGGAGACTCACCTGTCAGTCGGGTGTAAGGAGACCTTCACGGTTGTGGGAGACTCACCTGTCAGTCGGGTGTAAGGAGACCTTCACGGTTGTGGGAGACTCACCTGTCAGTCGGGTGTAAGGAGACCTTCACGGTTGTGGGAGACTCACCTGTCAGTCGGGTGTAAGGAGACCTTCACGGTTGTGGGAGACTCACCTGTCAGTCGGGTGTAAGGAGACCTTCACGGTTGTGGGAGACTCACCTGTCAGTCGGGTGTAAGGAGACCTTCACGGTTGTGGGAGACTCACCTGTCAGTCGGGTGTAAGGAGACCTTCACGGTTGTGGGAGACTCACCTGTCAGTCGGGTGTAAGGAGACCTTCACGGTTGTGGGAGACTCACCTGTCAGTCGGGTGTAAGGAGACCTTCACGGTTGTGGGAGACTCACCTGTCAGTCGGATGTAAGGAGACCTTCACGGTTGTGGGAGACTCACCTGTCAGTCGGGTGTAAGAATACCTTTACGGTTGTGGGAGACTCACCTGTCAGTCGGGTGTAAGGAGACCTTTACGGTTGTGGGAGAATCACCTGTCAGTCGGATGTAAGGAGACCTTTACGGTTGTGGGAGACTCACCTGTCAGTCGGGTGTAAGGAGACCTTCACGGTTGTGGGACACTCACCTGTCCGTTTGTCGTTTTGTGACACGGTTACGTTGGTGGTACCGACGAAAGTGAAAGTCGTGAAAGCTGTCAGGCTGTTGTTTGGCTTGTTTGGATCATCACCTATCCAGATCGGCTCCATTGTGCCATATAGAGCCGATCCAGTGTCCGTTTCCGCCATTAAATACTCCTCATTTCCGCTGAACGTGTATTCCAATTCGTCAAACGTTTGCAGGTTAGGAGATCCGAAAGCCACAGCTGAAATGTGACAAGGTTTATATTGACTGTAAAATTTATGATCAAATTGATTAAACTCAATGTCCACAAATCCATGATATTAATTTAATGCATCAATGAAACCATTTGATAAATTAATAAATTAAAAGTCATGAAAGTGATAAAAGTAATGATCCTCTGTTACCAAATGATTCCAATATTAATACTTGATGAAAGTCAATTAATTTATAATTTAACGCTTACCGATAATGGGAGGTTTGTAGCTTGAACACGAGGAAACAATACGTCGTGAGAAATATTGTTTGCATGTTATATCGTCTGTACAACATGCGTCACGTGCGTCTATATCACGTGATTGATGTAGGGCGGCATACATCTCTGGGTGATACCGATAAAATGCACTCGGACCACGTGACCCTGTCAACAACGATCCCCTGACAGGTGTGTCGGTAGGATTGTAGCAGCAGTGCTGTGAGTAAAACGGCATACTTAGTACCAAAAATAAATTGAGCGAGATTTAAAATAAAAATGTGCTTATGTATATATGCTATTGCTAGAAGATTCGGAATGTTTTGTTATATTTTACCATTAAACTCTAAAGCTGAATGGTGACATTCACGTAAACTAACCAATCAGAGAGCCGCATTTTATTAAAAATAATAACGACAAGAATCAACGTAATAGAATGTACCGGCACATTATCGGAGCCGAATTTTTCTTACATTACCATTTTGGTCCTATATTAATGTAATAAATCTTAAATGGTATTAATTCCAGTTTAATTCATATTTGTTTGATGTAAGCGTTATTTTATTTCTGTTATATTTATTCACCTCAGTCAAAGAAAATACATGGTAATAATCCAGAAAAATAAATATTTATACTGATTATTAAAAATAGTCATTTACCAGTCCGTATCCTTTTGTTGTCGGAGTCATAAGATCAGCGCAGTATGTGACGTTATCGAATTGAAAATTGAGATCGGCAAATATTTGAGACGTCGAGCATGGACATGCCGGAAAAGGACTTGTCACTTCATCACGTGATTCCTGCAGCAACCAATCACGGCAAATGGCTGTGGCGTTGCTCACGTCATTCTTGTTATATAGTTTGAACAACCATTTACCGATCCGCCCTGAAAATAAGGAGGGATTACCCGATGTTAACGTTTTTGGCTAATATGTTTTCCGTTGTCATAAGAGATTCACCAGGTTCACGAGCTTGTGTAGTAACGGCAATAACATATAATGACGTTAATGAGAATAACATGATGATAATGATGATGATGATGATGATGATGATGATGATGATGGTGGTGACGATGAATGGTATACATGCGTGTATGAGTGGTGCGTGTGTGTTCATATGCTTATGTATGTTACATATCTTTGAAAATGCTTGAAAAATTAAAACAAAAAACAAAACAAAAGCTATCTAATGACGCCCCATCTGATTATCAATGATATCTTACATAAAAAAACGTCCGCCGAGGACATTTTAATCTGGTTTTAACGTTTATGTCATCTATTTATAACAGAAACAGCACACATATTTTTCCCCCTAATTTCAAGAACATTAAACGTAGAGCTACCTTTGAACATAGATGTAGCTATAGTTACCGATGTTACCGATGAATAACTGTAAGTATAACAACACGCTGTTTTACCTATGTTCCCCATGGCTGAGGACACATCCACGGCCTCTGGTGTCCCGGTTTTGTTGAAGAACGAGCTGTACCCGGCCGAGCCGAAATAGAGGCCAATGATTGGTGACCTCGTCAAACTGTAGGGTAAGGCTTTGTTTTTGTCGTAGTCGAACGCAACCAAGGACCGGTCTCCATCGGTGAGCAAAACTAACCGGAATGTTGTGTTCTGGAATGTATGGGATACATGTGAACGCTAATATAACCACTGTTCATCATGTGTTGTTTTTTCTATAAGTCTTTTTATCAATAATGTACGTAAACGAATGTATCGTCATATTACACCCTGCTCTAAACGTTCAGCTATATAAATCCGTCAAAAACATATTTTACGATTTAAAATCAGTTGCATCTAAAACCGTTCATTTTTGGAAATATTTTGTAATAGCTGGAATTATCAGGACAAAAACTGCAGTGTCAGCACAGGTAGGATACAGGTAAATACATGTATACGTGTGATAATGCAATGGAGAGAAACATGTGTTCCAAATACTCACTTCTTTCCCATCGTATATCTGAGCCGGAAACGGACACACCTGTTCCCAATGTACGTCCAACGCCCATGTGGGATTGAAGTCAGGTTCCAAATATTGCCGCCATTCTTGGGTTATGTTGGTGGTATTTTTGACATTTTGGTATACAGTAGCGAACACTGAAGATTCTGAAGTGTTCCGAATGTCAAAGTCAGTCCAAAATGGAGCAAATAAAACTGTGTCGTTACTTCCGATCGGCAGATGACGAGGATTGTACCCGACGTAGTTGTTACCTAGGGAAACGAGTCCGTTCACGCTCACCTGTAAATAAAAAGAATATTTGACGTATTTAAGGGACACCTGATCTACTCAACCCTAACCCTAACCCAAAATTCATACACTTGACTTTTTATTTGAGTTACAACTATGACGGTGTAACCATTGCATAATCATTGATATTTAAAACATACAAATGATCTTTATTTATTTGAACACGACTGTTTGTTACGTAGTGTGGTTACCATGATTACCGCTGTTGCTCACCTAACTATAGATACTAGTGCTATTCAAACGTTCGGTGTAACCCATACTTTTAGTGTATACCCAAATGTGAGTGTAATCCAAACGTTACGGTGGCTACAGCAGTTAGTTTTACTCAAACAGTTAATGTAACTTCAATAGTTAGAGTAACTTAAGCAGTTTGGTTTTCTTTAATAGTTATTGTAATGTCAACTTTTCGTATAACCTCAATGTAGCCACAGCAGTTAGTGCAATGTTAACATTTACTGTAACTTTAACAGTTAGTCGTAACTCTAACGGTTAGTTAACCTGAACAATTAGTGAAAACTGGTGACATTAACGGTAGTGACCGCTAACACTTAACAAAGTCGACATTTTGATATCATGTTATCAGTTTTACCTCACCAACAATAAAAAAAAAATCAACAAGTTGTCACTGCTAAAACAGTACCGGCGTAATTAAAATGGTTGTCGACAGATTAACTACTGATATATAAATCAAGCGTAATTGCGTGTGTGATGTAATACATATATACGTACGTGAATCTGCTTGTATCTAGTTCCGTATACAGGTATGTTTCCGCTAATAGGGATTGCCACTGAGGTGCCGTCATCCGTTTTAGGCAGTACTATCGTGAAGATATCGGTCGATATCACTGTAAACAAAAAAACGCGCAAATTAACATTTCCCTTCATTATGTTCAATGTAGTACATGTAAAATATGGTCAATTCACAAAGACAAAATTTGAACTTGAAGTCGAAACAATAGAACAGCATCGGTAACTGTGGAAACACCAGAAACAACCCCATTATGTTGCCGAAGAACTTAAAAGGAAGGAGAATATTACTGTTGACATGTTAATAAGCGCTTTGTTCTGTCACAGTGTAAGGTCTTGACCTGCAATCTAGTTCGAAAGCATCTTGTATACAGCGGTCATCAGAAAGTTCCAACAGAGGTCACGTTGGCGTAGCAGCTCACAGTTCTAGTCCAGTATTATAGTGATAACACAGGCAAAGATGGAAGAAACATTAGAGGAAAACTAAATCTACTGTGGTTTTATATGTCAGGACGGTATTTGCTCTTTTATGATACCAAGTTCCTCTTAATAAATAGAACCAATATCAATGTACAGAAGAAGGTTATTTCTATATATAGGTGAACTGTAGATAGCACAGCCAGGTAATTTCTTGGAAATAAGACAATAAGTATTAAGTAAAGCCTTAACTCATCCCCTGCCTACACACCTCAACGATTTGACAGAACTCATACGAAACCACATTTTCCCTCCCTGTAAAGATGTTAATAACGATAGGGTGAGTCCAGGCGAGGCTCATATTCCCTGTTTGAGAGAGGAGCACACAATAAGAGTACAAGGGTACAAGAGTAAAATATGTCTTTTACGACAAAGGCGGTCATCCTCAGGCCTGGCCAGGTGTACTGATTCCAGCAGTATTTAGTGGGTTTTTTTTTATAAGATAACTTTGCAGAAACTTGACAAACAAAATATGGCATTCCTATTTAACCCTCCCTCCCACTCCATTAAAAATGATCGTGAAAGTATATTATGTAATCTTTCTTTATTCTTTTTGCCTCCTAATCTTGTAATTGATTAGTAATTTCTATTTCCCAGGTAGAAACCCTATCTAGGTAATTTATGTATTAAAGTGACCCATCCATCAAGAATCTCCTCGCACCAGGAGTGGCGAATCAGCCGTGGCCTATAAACACCATAACCAGGGAGGCTAGAATGTTACTATCGAGGAAAAGAAAGTTAACGATCGTGATATGCAGAATGTTTCATTAGTTATACACCTTAGAAAAATAGTGTCCAGCATTGTCCTACTGTGAGTTAGATTAGATGGTATGTTTTACTGACCACAAACAAAAATTCGGCAGAAGATAAGAACCTTTTGATAAAAGGGGATATATATCATTGTACATAGATAAAATCTATTTTGAATGATGATATTAAGCTAAATGCATGACTGACATCTATTCATTTCGTCAGCACATTCTAAACCGAAAAACTTACCAGAAGCCGTCGTTGGCATTTCTGTTGTGGCTGAAGGTGTTGTTCCACTTGAACTGGACCCAGTTCTATCTGTACCTGATATTAAATTGTAACAGAGTTCATGTATTTTTCACAATACTTAATTTTACATATCCCAGTACTAACGAGTACATTTCAATTGAATTATTTCAAACTTCCCCGTACAAGATTCCATATCACATTAATATATTACACATATTAACTGAATGATTTATCATATATATATATATATTTATTTTATAGTTAAAGGGGCTGGTCGGGGAAAAAATAAATGGATCTAAATGCGTTCTCTGGCCTTCGAAAAGCTATACCACGGCAATATGATGGTCGAGATCTGCTTGCAATGTCCAGTTTTGACCACTGAAATCTCGGGGAAGCCCCGCGTAAATTTAGCGCAGATCTATTTATATATGTCACGTGGTTGTTTCGAAAGTGGGGCAGTGAGGATAACAACAATAGCACGTCGTCTAATCAGCCATGTCGGACTCAACTAGCGGACAAGACAGCAATACTATACGTAAATAATTGTTTTCAAAGGTCATGTATGATGCAAGTGTAATATTCCTACCTATATGTTGTTGTTATATATAACGGTATTGATACCTCGTGCCTGTCATGACTTTTGCATGCATCTTTTTCTTTCGCCGCGATGTTTACATTTGGCCTTGTTGATGACGCGCATGCGGTAAAATTACATCACTGATCTGGGTCAATTGAGAGTTTTAGACTGTCAGGTGACGATTTAGGATTGCTTTAATATAATTATAATTTTTACTCTTAGGGAGTGAATTTCATCAAAATTTGAATCGGTATATTTCATAAGAAGGTATTTTAAACATGTGTATGCCATTTTAGCAAATATGACATTTTTTCCCCGACCAGCCCCTTTAACAAAGAAAAAAATTGGAAACATATTTAGTATAAATCTTTTAGTATTCGTATACTAAAATGAGCCAACACGAAATAACACTAAATCGGGTCCATTCGAAGTTAATATGGTTTAGTAAACAGCATGTGGAAATGATCTTTGAGATTGAGATAACATCTCGGCGTTCACTGATTAGTAAAACCGTTACATGCCAAATCTATATACTGAGAATGCACTGGCCTATCACGAAGCGTGTTATATACATTGTTGTAATGTTATATACATTACAATGTATAACATTACAATGTATTACATCAATATATAACTTACAACAATGTATAACATTACAACAATGTATAAAAATGACATCAATGTATAACATTACAATGTATTACATCAATATATAACTTACAACAATAATTAAGGGAATGAAAAACAAGCACATGACTTATGAAACATTTTATCACATACTGTTGAGCAATAATATCATACTCGCCTTGTTAGCAATAAGAAATGGTATATATTATGCGTGCAGTGCAATATATATGGCTTGTTAGTTTCTGTTTGTTACGCTACTTACATTGATGTCATATTATACATTGTTGTACAGTAATACGTTGATGTAATGTTATACATTGTTGTAATGTTATACATTGTTGTAATGTTATACATTGTTGTAATTATACATTGATGTAATGTTATACATTGTTGTAATTATACATTGTTGTAAGTTTATACATTGTTGAAATGTTATCCATTGATGTAATGTTATACATTGTTGTAATTATACATTGATGTAATGTTATACATTGTTGTAAAGTTATACATTGTTGTAAAGTTATACATTGATGCAATGTTATACATTGATGTAATGTTATACATTGTTGTAAAGTTATACATTGTTGTAATGTTATACGTTCTTGTTATGTTAAACATTGTTGTTAAGCTATACATTGATGTAATGTTATAGATTGTTGTAATGTTATACATTGTTGTAATGTTATACGTTCTTGTAATGTTATACGTTCTTGTAATGTTAAAAATTGTTGTTAAGCTATGCATTGATGTAATGTTAAACATTGTTGTTAAGCTATACATTGATGTAATGTTATAGATTGTTGTAATGTTATACATTGTTGTAATGTTATACATTGCTATAATGATAAACATTGTTGTAATACATTGTAATGTTATACATTGATGTAATTTTATACATTGTTGTAATGTTATACATTGTTGTAAGTTATATATTGATGTAATACATTGTTATGTTATACATTGTTGAAGTGCCTCCCATTTTCACAACTAGATAAATAGCTATACCACTGTTATACACTGTCTATATGGTCTCGTTGATGATTTTCAAGGCACTTGTATGAAATGATTTATAAGGCACATGTGTCCCGATGTGTTTTTAGGTATATGTTTTTTTTATTTCGTAGACAACACTTGCATAGCATATATATTGAAATAGATAACTAAGGGAATGAAAAACAAGCACATGACTTATGAAACATTTTATCACGTACTGTTGAGCAATAATATCATACTCGCCTTGTTAGCAATAAGAAATGGTATATAAAATGCGTGCAGTGCAATATATATGGCTTGTTAGTTGCTGTTTGTTACGCTACTTACAATATGTTTCAAGCAAGTACATTAACTAGAACATCTCTCTTGAATTTGAGTTACAGATTTTGTAAAACTCAAATAATCCTTTTATCAATCTCGGGTGTCATTGTCTCAGAAATGTCTGTTTTATCAGATCACTTTTACACACTGTCATATCTCACACCAAATTGAATGAAAGGTTTTTTTTCTTCTCTTACTCTGAAATCGTTCTTTTACAACAAAAGCGAACGACGATATAACTATATCTACACCTTATTTACCCTTTATTCACATGGACATATTTATTTTTTTAAATCTTCTTTTATACTTGAATAACTCAATCCCATAGCCTGCTATACTATACAGCTCATATTACCTAATATTTGATTTCAAAAACCTCTTTGCAACCGATAGATCTGTATTAAATCTAGTTCTGCCATCTGTTTAGATTGTTGATAATGATAGGCCCATAGTTTCATTTCTAGGTGACTTTCTCTACTGGTCTGATTATTTATAGCAAACAAATTCTTGACTATTAAGCGGCGACAGTACACATGTTAGCCATTCGAAGCGAATACTCTTGTCAACGTCGAGTCAGTTATTGCAGGTTATATATAGCAAACCTTGATGGCAAATAATTCTTGCACTGCGATCTAATTCTATAGCCAACGTAACATGAAAAAGCTACAAGTGTGTCAACAAAAAAGCAAGCAGAATGTAATTAAAACATATATCGCTCGTACCATATCTTGTTACATCCGTTTCATGCGCTGAGACTTCACCACCTGTTGCTGTCATTGATGCTGATGGTGATGTTTTTTCTGTTACAGTCGTGCT